TATTAAAATGACATTGAAACTTTCAACATAGCACAATAAGATGCAATTTCACAAAGTTATCAACTTAGAAATGAAAGTACGAAATCAAACCAAAGTGGATACTTGGACATCACGCCAGATCAAACCGACACCATAGTTACTTTAGGGTTACTAACCCATGGGTAACCTCCCTATGTGCACACTAGACTTGTAGAGGGACAATCCCCTATACTAGAACCATGCCCTAACCTTAGTCATAACAACGACATCCCAAGTTTCCAAAACCAACAATTTTTTGTGCAACAACGCATATATATTAGCATGAACATATACACATAATGTAAAACCATTCACCATGCACAAACCAATTTTAGAAACACAATACATGCCCTATGTTAACAACTACCATGGCATGAAGAATGTGAAATCATCATTTTACAACTTGTTGCATTCTAGAATAATGTTAGCCCACATTAAGAACATAATCCCACAATTGTGATACAAGTCTAAAATCATGGTTTAACTAGGCAATCCACAAAATACATACCCAAATAACTAATACAACAAGGATGGAAATTAATTAAATACAATACTTAATTCCTCTAGATTTTCATTTCTCATCCAAACATACTCAATTTAATATATACTTAAGAACCTATCATGATCATTATAAATTTAACATCAAAACTTAATTTAAATCATGGAAACATACAAATAAAAATTAATTAAATTAATTGACTAATGTCTCTAGATTTCAAAACAACCCTATATAACTTCAAATTAAGGTAAGTTATGAATCAAGTCATGGCCTTTCCAAAACTCAAGTCCTAGCTTAATTTCATGTAAGATACCATTAGTTATAAACTTAAAATCTTAGATCTAATGCATGTAATACCTATGAACCATGTCATAAAGTATATAAAACATCAAAAACATAACTTAGAACACCCTCTACCTCACAAGAGGATTGTTCCTCTTGAATCCAAGGAAAGCAAAGGAATTTCAAGTTTTCCTTCTAGGGTTATGTAGAGGAGAGTGAGAGGAAACTAAATTATTCCAAAGTTTTAAGTCTAAGGTGAGTGGAAGGAGGCCAAAATGAAGCTTAAAGCTTTAAACCAAGCTTTACTTCAATGGTGGCTAGGTTATGGTTCTTGAGAAGAAAGAGATGAATGAAATAAAATGTGAAAACCCTAAATTAAATTTGATGGGGTTCTCCACTCACTAGGTGCTCTTGCACTACCTCTCACACACACACTTGCAAGACTAATTATGAGACTTACACTTGTCATTCATCTAAGGCTCCTTCCTAGGCTTAATCCTAGGCCTACACTTGTCATTCATCTAAGACAACAAGTGCTCCAATCCTAGGCCAACAAATGGGTGAATCTCCATCCTCCATGTGTCAAGAGATTAAGCCTCCAAGTGGTTCCACCACAAGATCAACAAGTGGCACCATGAGAGTGTGACATTTGTTACATTTTTCAAAAATTGCAACAAGGTCCTTCTTGAAAATATATTCCAAAATAAATTATAAAATGGTCCCTAAGATGAAAAATAATTACTTTAATTAATTGCACCAAAAACCCCACAAGTTATGAATATTACCAAAAGTTATGCATCCATACCATTTACAAGGAAAGTAAGCGACTAGCATGCTTTCTTACAAAAGTGAAAATGTGGATATCACAAAAATTAAATATCATGGATGTATGCAAAGCCGGAATCAAATCCGAATACGAAAAGTGAGGTTATGCAAGAAAAAATGAAAAACGAAAAAAAGACGAAAAAAGAAATTACCAAAAAAAGAAAAAGAGAAGAATGACCGGGTCATTACACTAGCAAATAACACATTAGTCACAATTCCAACTATAAGAAGTGCATGAAACTACATAGCAACCAACATTTTAGCATTAATTTACAATATACAAGAAACCCCAGCATGCTATTACACAATTGACATCAAATTGGTATGTAAAAAATAGGGAAAAACATGATATTGGCTACAAAATTAAAGAACTATGACAATTAGACTACTCTACCTCTTTGAAGCTCAAACCCTAGCTTGCACTAAGTAAAAATTTCCAACAAAATGAAGTCTATGCACATCAATGAAGAGGAGACGACAAGAAGAGTAAACTTCCCTCTTGAAGTTTCATCAAAATCACACAACTAAGGGGAGGCCAAAATTGAAGTGGCCTAATGGGCTTGATTTTGGTATCAGTGGAAAGATTTCAATAAGTGTAAGGTTTTTCTCTTCTAGCACAATGCCAAAATCCCATAAGAAAGTGGTCAAATACAAGCTCCAAAAGGTGTAGCAATGGAGGCCATGGATGGAGGAAGAATGGAGAAGAAGAAGTGTGGGCCGGATGGGGAAGTGAGGAGTCTGCAAAAAAATGTTTGTTATTGTCCCCCACATGTTAGGGGTGAAAATCAGCTCCAGTCACACAGTGTGCCATTTTCACCATTTTGGAAAAAGTGGAGGAAAATTGGCCACATCAATTAAAAATCTTGGGTAATTAAATTTTCACCACTCTTGTATTTTATATATAAAAACTTTAAATATTGTATTCAAAATATATAAATACATTTAAATATTGTATCCAAAATACGCTTGTCTTCTTCCAAAATGTTGTCTTCTTCCTTTCTCTCTCTAAAAGCTTCATCAGCTTCCATTAATGGACTCTCTAAGGATTCATAATAACTTTTGAACTTCAAAGCTTCACTTCAAAATCCAAACACACTCCAAAAACCAATGTAATTTCACTGGAATATTATGCAGAAACTCCAAAGTATCATCCATAGATCTAAGCTTTATTCATTTAAATCTCGATTTTCGGTCTGTTTTTTCTTATCTGATTAAAGAGCACAAACATCACTAGTTCGCACTCTTTTTAGTAGAATTTTGTTAGGATTTTATGTATAACATAAGCATGAAATATAGTTAGTACTGCTTGGGATACAAAATACGTATGGCTTGGGATGTTAAGTAGGATTATGTTGGGATGTTACATACAACTTATACTAATTTAAATTACAAACTGTTGGGATGTTTATGTACAAATAATCTATTAGGATTATGTTGGAATGTTGTGTACAACTTATATTGACTTAAATTACAAACTATTTGGAATGTTATGCAGTACACAAATAATTAAACAAAAAAAACCATGCCAGTCCATCTGTTCCAATATTGCTATGTTAATTTGGAATAAAATGATCTAGTATACAAAGAAGGGGAACTAAAAATTTATGGAAACAAATAAATGAAGAAATAGATCTGAGAAATTTATGGAAACAAATGAATTGAAAAATAGATGTATGATTTGTTTGTGATTCGTTTTGGAAACAAATCAAAGAGAATTATCGAGATTTAAAAGAAGAAAGAAAAAAAAAATAACTAAAAATCGATATCTTTCTCTCTCTGAAACCTTTGGCAAATCTAAAGTGGATTGATTGAAATATCATCAATGTTCCAAATCTCCACATAAACTGCAAAATCTGGGCTGCTGAAATATTTTGAAAAGAAACAATATTTTGGAAAGAAATCAAAATCTGGGTTGCTGAAATGGCGGGATTTTGGAAAGAAATCAAAATCAATATTTTGGAAGAGAAGAAAATGGCGGGACTTGGGTTGTTGAAATGGGTTGTTGAAAATAAAGAAGGGAAGAAGATATAATATTTGTGAACAGTGTATACATCTACATATATGGAAATTGTGTACAAAACAAATAAATATTTTTACCCACCTTAGTAACTACTGTTCATTAACACAAAAAGGAGGAAATGGGCTACTGTGGGACTGGAGGTAATCCTGGTCCCACATGTTAGTCAAATGGTGGGGTCCACATTGGACCCACAAAATGACCATTATACCCCCACATGCCAATGAATCCCAAAAATGCCCCAAGCGTGTAAAATTCCACATATAGACATCAAATAATATATATAACACGAAAATAAGTCCAGAAAATATTTTCGGGCACACAAATCTGGACATGGGGCCCACATGGAACATCCCGGACCAAAAATCCGAAAAATACTAAAATAACTCAAAATACATTTTTAAGAGTTTTAAATTCAAAGAAATATCCTAAATGACTCTCGAAACCCTCGTGACATGCTAATCGGTGGCACAAAAAAAAAATAAGCCAAAGAAAATAAAATAAAAAATACCGAAAAAATGAAGAAAAAAAAAATGCAAAAGATCACAAAAGTTCGTTGAATAACAATTAGGACAAGCGTGTGATTGTGAGTACATTTTGGACATTAATCTACTTGAATTGTTATGTGAAAATCCTTTGTAAGTTTTATAACATAATAATAGTATTCAACAAGAAGCTAAGAATTTTCAAAACTGGTGGAGTAAAACTATAGTCTAGAAAACACTTGTACCAGTTGGGGGTAAAATTTGTATCAGTTAAGTATTCTCCAAAATTAGCTAAATTGCTTCAGAATTCACTTGTACGGGTTCCAAGAAACTTTTGTATGGTGTTTAGAACATCTTTACCCAAATCTTCAAATTTCACAAAAAAATAAATAAATAAATAAAAATAAAAATAAAATGTCAACCTTTTTTATTTTTGGCTGTCCAAAATTAAAAGTTGAAAAGTGTAGTATTTTTTTTTTTAGCATTACCAATCTAAATGAACTTATAAAAGGGATAATTAGAATTAAGGACCTATCCTAAACAAAATTGCTTTAAAATGACCATAAAAAAAAAAAAAGAAAAGATGACTTAACTGTAGAGAAATGGCCATTAAAATTTATTTCCTAAATTACCCCTCGCTAGACTTGTCAATTGATTTTCTCATTTGGGTCAATGCAATTCCTCACTATACTGTCAAAAAGTTGAGGGGAGTATTTTGCAACTTTTTGACAGTATAGGTGATTTAGTGCAATTTAGCACATATGGGTAAATCTCAACACAGTAAACTTACCCAAATCCACCTATTAGTGTTTCACACCGTTTGATAAGGCAGTAAGGCAGAAATATGGTTAATTTCGGAGAGTGATTCCATGAATATGGTAATTAAAGCTTTCGCATTATAAAGTGAAATGCATCATCTCAAACAGATTGACAATTCATGGATTTTCCAAATTCCAAGATACAAAGAAGCCAAAGATGCTTTACACAACTAATTATACACAGTGCATACAAAAAAAATATACCACTGTTAGACGTTACACATTGTAATTGTCAGCGGTCACCGAAGCTCGCAATCTTCATTAAAGCAAACCATCTGAAATCAGTAATATGAAGGATGGAAAAGATAAGAATACAAACACTAAGATTGGATACATTCTAATCACCATGTTCATTATTCTAAAGATATTAATTTCACTTCTATTTTACAGACTCAATTAGGTTTGTGTCTTGAGCATTGAGTTTTTACAAGGAAGCACTGCTACATATTCATATCTGTTAGAAATTTCTTTAGACGTTACATGAAACATAAAGTTTTTAGCTAAAGACTTCAGTGCTTCACTCATTTTGAAGCAACCATAATAATGGGAAGAACGTAACAATGGAGTTTATTACAACAATATAATAACTTGACTTACCGGACACATTGAATGCATGCCTAGATACACATATTGGACACATGCCATACACCGGACAGATTGCCGATATCCAACCCGAGTCCTTTCAGTCATTTAGAACAATCCCATGTAACACAGTGCCATTTCCAACACATCCCATTTTAAGATAAGCACATATCTAGAAGCATTATGGATGAGGATGAGGTTTAAAATATTTTTTTTATTATTAATCAATCCATTTCCAACTTTACTGGGGAAAAACTATCAATCCATTTTTAAAAGTCAATGATCAGTTTGCAAGTTTTACTTTTCACAAGTTCATGTGAGAAAGCTGGAAAGGGAAATAAATGACAATCAGTTAGACATGAAGGATGAAAAAGCTTAGTAATGAACAACTAAAATATAAATAGAATAAGCAAAATAATGCATTGATATACTTCATCTTCCGTCAACATGATAGTGACTCTAATATTTAAATTGGTTATATGGGACTGGCAGAGGAAAGGATGAAGATTCAAAATCTCACAAATTCAGTTCAATGCTACAAAATTCTAAAATTCAAGGTTTTCTTCACTTTTCCTATGACTTACTGGTAAAAGGAGTTTTGCATGGACCAATTTGTCTAATTGAAAACTTAAATTATTATAGCTGTTGTTCCAGTGGGACGCGAGTTAGATAACCAAATGGTAACATGACAAGTAATAAAATCAGATAAAACTACCCTAAGATTCAACAGTGCCATTATATGATTAAATCTACCCTAAGCCTTCAGAATTGAATGAAATATACATATGCAACAAAGCAAAATGTACACATTGTGTATATGTTCACAAATGATATAATTGAACAAAAAATTATTTCTTTAAAGAAAAGAATTAATTCATTGAGATTCTAGGAGATATTACCAGTTCAGTTTAATCGCCACAAGATGAAGCGAATCATTTGTTCTGCTTCGTTGCAACAGTTCTCTGCACAGTGGAAACACCATCCACAAATTTTGTGCGAAAAAGAACATTGGCATTATTGAACATGCCTTCCTTCAGAGAAACCACAATGAACTGCAGAAAGAAAGCAAAATTAAAATAAAATAAAGCTTATGTCTCACGAACATTAACAAGAAGACTTGTTTAATACGTAGTAATTAAATACTGTGCCTATTTGTGACAGACAATGCATTAACATGCTAGGAGCTTCATCCTCTTTCTTAGGTTCACTGCCAATAAGACTTTTAGCACCATCTTCAGTTTCAGTCTCTAAACCCCAAGTAGTTTTAGCTACAATCATGTTTGAAGTATATGCACTTGCCACCAAGACAACCTAAGACTCTTCTACATTGGAGGAACTCGTTTCACTTTCAAATTTTGATGAATCAGAGTGTAGCTTTCATTGCTTTGGCCTTACATTTCAGTTAAGACTTCTTTCTACTTCTAGCCTTCCTAGAACATTCACCTTACACATAACCTTTCTCAGTACAATTCCAACATGTGATGATACTAGTTTTCTTAGTATCCTTACCAGGTTTGTCCATTTTTTAGAGCCTGCTTTCTTACTAGATTTAGCCTTGTATTCAAACTCTTTCAGAAATTTATTAAATTTGTAAGCAGTGCTATTTCCTCTTATGTGTCGCTACTTCCACTCTCACTTGACTCTTCCTGGACTGCCTTTAGTTATACCCTTGTTTTTTTAGAAGGTGGGAAATTCAATTCATAAAATTTTAGTGATCCTACTAGGTCAACCACCCTAATAATGCCTGCATGCTTACTCTCTTCTACAGCTGTGACTTCTGACTATTGTCTAGGAGGAAGTGATCTAAGTATCTTTCTAACCACTTTGTTTTCTGGAATTCTTTCTCTCTAGAACATAATTACTGTTGAGTATATCATTTAACTTAGCAAAAAATTCATCAAACTCGCAATCTCTTCCATTTACGGTTCTCAAGTTTAGTTGTTTGCATTTGTACTTTTGAGATTTTAATTGGAGTAATTCCTTCATGTACATTCAAGAATTTCCCATGCTTCTTTAGCTGTAGTGAAATTAGTGATCCTAGAAATTTCTGAGGAATTAAAAGTTGTGAACAATGTAATTAATGCTCTAGAATTGTAGTTAGCTAAACTGCTTCTTCTACCGACAATTAAATCTTTTCATCCATGGATTTTAAAAAAGCTCCCATGCGAGCTTTCCAATACCAATAGTTTGTTCCATCGAACAAAACTGGCCGAGATATGGAATCACCTTCCTTAAGGTAGTACATGATCTATAATAAAAGCACAATAAACAAAAATATTTTTACATGGAAAACCCCAAAGAGACAAACCACATGACCTAACCCATTTAAACAAAATTCACTATCAGAAAGAGATTACAACTAGGTAACAGTTCAACTACCCGTAAACCCATAATTACCACTTGATACACATTGACCAACAAAATCACACAAGGAATTTCCAAGCACATAGCCCCCTCCATCAACAGATTGCACCACTCACAATGATCTGCTTGTTCAATAGCTATTTGGTTGAGAAATTAGTTGGTGTTAAACTTTCATTGTGTTTCGCAACAGTAAATTGTCAACACACTCGTATAACACCCACCAATCTAATGACGCATGATTAATGAATGCAGAAATAACATATGAATGCACTCTACTCTCTCAATCAAGCTCAGAATCTCTGTGTGTCTTAAGGTTTTCTGAAATCATGAGCTATATTATAAACAAAAAGGAATGTATAGAACTTCGGGTAGTATTTGGTTGAGAAATTAGTTGGTGTTAAACTTTCATCGTGTTTCGCAACAGTATCGCAACAGTAGATTGTCAACACACTCGTATGACACCCTCCAATCTAATGATGCATGAATAATGAATGCAGAAACAAAATATGCATGCACTCTAATCTCTCAATCAAGCTCAAAATCTCTGTGCGTCTTAAGGTTTTCTGAAATCATGAGCCATATTATAAACAAAAAGGAATGTATAGAACTTAGGGCTTTAGTATTTTAATTTCAAAAGGAAACTAGCTTTCCGGAAATCTCGATTGATCGAGGACTCATGCGGATCAATCAATATGCATTTGGTGCCCTTCCATTGATCAGTTGATTGATCGAAGTTGTCTTCCATACTTGAAAATTCTAAAAAAAGAAATGTCAAAACAAACTTTAAAAGAAATTAGATTAGATTTTTTTAATATCAAAGCACTAAGTAGAAAAACCCTAATGCATGAACCCTAATTTGGTGAGTGCATATAGTAGAGTCAATTTACCACTATACCCTTGGCTTCAAGGATTACCGTTTTGCCTGTAGTTGTAGCTTTAATTCTGATTATGCCCTTTGGACAAGAGGTACCTAACTTGACACTAACTTAATTTTGAAAATCTATCTAAAACTTAAACAAAACATTACAGACTCTATCTTTGATCACAAAATATGCCAACATAGGTCCTATTAACCTAACAAGCACGAAGACAACTCCACAAAAAAATAGGAGAAAGATAGCCATCAAGAACAACCACTGCCCCTGTGGACATTGGTTGGAGTAAATTGAGGAGTAGATTAGGGTTGTACTTAGTCCAGCCCTCCCAAATTTGATGTAATTGACGTGACCTCTGGGTAAATGAGTTCTAAAACCATACCCAATGCCCATTTACTCAATCAAAAATTTTGAGCAAATTTACTGTTCTAAAATTTCAGAATGAACATGATTAATTTCAATTCCCAATACTAACTAAAAGTTAATGGATTCAGAAATTTTTCAAGGAAAAAAAATTATAAACTTTCATTTAAACAGAAACCACCAAAAATAAATAAATAAATCAATAAAGAAATTTACCTGCGAATGTGGAAAGTGACTTTTGATCATTCTTCCTATATTCTGGGTGTGGCTTAGATCAAGAGCTGCATCAACCTGTGAAAATACCAGTAAAAACAGCTTAGTTGAACATATCTAATGACAGATTTTCACTCCGGGGTCCAGGCATAATAAGAATGAGAATCACACAATGCAAACATGAAAAATTATAAGAATTTCAAAACGTATGAAATAATAAAGGATTTTAACCAGGGAAAAGCCTGAATTAATGAATGCATATTTCCAGAATATTTCTTTTCCGCGGGAGGAGAGTTGAGTGCAACTCTAAGACCTAATTGTGAACATTGAATGTTTTCTGTTTTTTTAACAGAATTCTTTTCATTTATTGTTCCATATTTAAAATGTGCACCCAGTCCAAAATAAAAGAGGCTGAATTAAAGTAACTAAATACTAAATCTCACAACGGTGGGACCAATTTGCATCCAAACTGTAGATTTTTAGTGTCGGTTCTCAGGAATTTTACCTACATGACATGCTATTATTGGTCACACAACTACCACAAAAGCAAGGTTGTTAAAATCGGGATTCTACGTAGAATCGTTTTGGGCTATGTAGAATCGGAATCGGATCGAGAATCGTAAGATTCTACCAACTAGTAAAAAAATAATTCAAACTTGCTCTCTAAACAATTATGTGTAAAATATAACAAGAATAATGCCAAAAAAAAAAAAAAAAAAAAAAAGAGTACCATTCCAAGGTCCAAATATAATATAAAAGAGAACACAAAAGGTAGAAAGTTAAAATTTAAAATTAGAACATGTCATAAACTGATAAACTTTGGAAAAAAAAAATTAAAAATAGAAGTATAGAAGTTAGAACAACAAAAAAGCAATTGCACAATCTCAATTCTCATAGGCGCAAAGTAGAAATTTAAATTTTAAATAAAATAGAAGTATGGAAGTTGGAACATCAAAAAAAAATTTGCACAATCTCAATTCTCCAAAGTTCAGAAGTCAAAAGGCAAAATATTTTTGCACAGAAGCAGAACAAAAACGTATGGAACAGAAGCAGAACAAAAAAATTTGCACAGAAGTCAGGACAAAGCCAAAATCAAAATTTAAAACCCAAAAACCAAGAACAAAAAATAAATGAATCAAATACCCATGCATGATGCATATCAAAACTTTTAAGAAATCAACTAATCAAACACCAGGGGGAAAAAAAAAAAAAAAGAGAGTGGTGAACAGTAGAATCGTATGATCGCCGATTCTACCCAAGCGAAACGATTTTCATGCGATTCAATTTTTTTCTATGATCGTAGGATCGTGCGATTCTACGACCTAAAATCGCAATTTGAACAACCTTGGTATCAATTCTCCAAAGCTCAGAACATCAAAAAAAAAAAATGCACAATCTTAATTCTCCAAAGCTCAAAAGTCAAAAGCAAAATATTTTTGCACAGAAGCAGAACAAAAACATATGGAACAGATGCAGAACAAAAAAAATTGCACACAGTAGTCAGGACAGAGCCAAAAATCAAAATTTAAAACTCAAAAACCAAGAACAAAAAATAAATGAATCAAATACCCATGCATGATGCATATCAAAACTGTTAAGAAATCAATTAATCAAACACCAAAAAAATAATAATAATAAAGGAAAAAAAGTGGTGAACAGCATAATCGGTAGAATCGTACGATTCTACGCCGATTTTACCCAAATGAATGATTTTCATGCGATTCAACTCGTTTTTGGGATACGATTCTACGCCGATTTTACCCAAATGAATGATTTTCATGCGATTCAACTCGTTTTTGGGATATGATCATAGAATCGCACAATTCTACAGCCTAGAATCGCGATTTTAACAACCTTGCACAAAAGGAGTTTCACTCAAATAGTAAAGAATGCAAAATTGGTAATTTCAGATCATATTGGAGCATTTGGCCTGAAATTTTTCGAAGCATTTGTCACAAAACAGTAAATTTTTTTGGTCTAAAACTCTAGATAGTCTGAACATATCAAATGAGATGCTTATAGAGGTTTTAGTCTACATATTAAAGACTCAAGAGTTCCTAAACCAAGGATTGGAAATTTCTAGCGGGACTGATTACTCGATTCTGAGAAAATAAATAAATGTATATGCAGGGAAAAAGTGTGAGGGAAGACACAAATAAATAAGATGATTGAGCTTAGTGCCCTGTGGATAACATAATCTTTTGGTTAGAGAATATCATTATAGGAGTGATTTAAGCCCTTGATAGAATATTGATAGGAATGATTCATGAGATTGATTTTAGGAATCCTCCATCAATATATTTTCCATATTTATTTTATATTTCTTTCACTTATAAATAGAAGTGATCATTGTAAACAAAGTTAATAGAGAATATAATAAAAGAGATGTAGCCCTCTTTCGGCTTTGTGTGCCATGGATCTAGGCCGTAGTGGCCAAAAAGGAGTTTCATAAATGTACATTGAGACCAAAAAATCATTTGGAATAGAAAGAAGTGAAAGCCTGACAAGGTACAAGGACGATTCCAACACTCCTAACTTTATCCAGTGATCAATGGAGCTGTATTTGCTCCTGGCAGTCCATTTTAAGGATAGAGGCTGTGACACCTAGTTTAGTAGAATACTTGAGCAAGAATCTGCAAACATGAAGACCAGGAAACAGGCTTTTGCAAAGACTAGGAAACAGTTTGATTTAATGAACACAAGACCAAATGAGTAAGAAACTTGATTGAGTGCAAGTTGACAGCCACATTCGTTTTCCAGTTCATAACAAACTGAAGCTAGTCACCAAAAAACTTGACTAAATATAGAATGCACAAGTCCTAGTTTTATCAGTGGGAACCAGGAAAAATCCAGAAACATATCTAGTAGCATGGAATATGAATTTTGAAACATTAAGATAATTAATCCAAGCAAGGATCTACTATTTTCAAGAAAAATGACTCCAAATACCTCTAAGATACAAAATCCAAAAGTATACATCGTCTACAAAGTGGGATGGGGTTCGGTGAGAGTAATGAAACAATGCATCAAAAAGATTAGCCAGTTTATTTCAAGGGGCTAAACAATACGTACCTCATCCAGTATATAAAGTGGAGCTGGTTTAAACAGAAGCAGCGCCAGAATTAGAGAAAGGGCAAGTAGAGATCTCTGTCCTCCACTAAGTTCTGACAAGGACTGCTTCCAAACACCTCCAAATGCAACACGAACCTCAAGACCATCCAAGAAGCTACATCCCTCCAGAGGTTCTAGCTTTGCCATTGTGCCAGGTAATAGGGTGGAAAATATGGACCCGAAGTCGCTAAAGAAAAGAAAAAAAAATTGAAGAGCAAGCATGGTCAAATTCTGTAGATTCAAATGCCCAAAGAACCATAAAGAATATGAAGACACATAATTAGTTTATAACTCACTTGTTAACTTTAACCCAAGTAACTTTCAGAGTTTCTTTCTTCTTTTCATCAAGCTCTTCAATCACCATCTTGATTTTTGACTTGTCATTCTGTGCAAAATTACATGATTTGTAAAATGAGTTGGTGTGACTACATATTAATCAACATTAACTGACCTCAATGATATTTTTCTTGGATATCAAATCGCTGTACTCATCTTCTGCCTTCTCAAACATTGCCATAACTTTCTTGTTAACTCTTTTCTCAAGGCTAAGGAAAGAAAAAGAAAAATATGTCAGCACAGCTTTTTGCTACTCTTAATTTTATGAACTACGATAATATTAAACTACTTTTTAGTTTGCAAATGAGGACCGTCCAAGAAATTGAAATGTCCATATAAAAGTCAGAAAGCAACATTCACAGGTACACACCCTGATTGTTCAGCTTGCAGCTTTTCAAAATCCTCCCTTGCTTTTCGAGGATCACGGGACGCAAAATCATAATCCGTCCCACTTCTTCCAAACAACTGTTTCTCAGATGTTATCCAGCCATGCTTTTCAATTAATTTGTCAACCTTCAAAGTGCAATCTTGCTGTTCCATCTCCATCCGTTTTACCTATTACAGAAATTGAATGAGGGTTATCATACAATAATGGAATCCCAAGACAATATCTACCGACACATTACCTCATTTTCCATCTTCTTCCTCTCAATATTTGTCTCACTAATTTTACGTTGAATTATCTGTTGCTCCTTAAGAATGGAATTAATCTGTGAATCACATTCCTTCAATTTCGTCCGGAAGATATTCAGCTCAGATTGTGCCTGGTCATGAACATTTCTGATGGAAGCAATCTGCAAGAGAAATTAAGAACCTTTCTATTATCTTTTCTGCTTGACAAGATATTGGGTTGAAAAACTAATTGCCAAAATAAATCTGTGTTTACCTTGGTTTTATGTTCATCTACTTCCAATGTGAGAGTGTTAATCTGGTTTCTTAGAGAAATTAACTGACTCTCCAAGGATGCATGTTCCTCTTTGACTGCTTCCATTTCCATAATAAGCTTCTCCCTTCGATTCTCATGCCCCTACTAGCATGCAAAACCATGTCAAGAGGAATTTAAAAGCAATTGCGACTTGTGAACTTAACCTAGAGGCATAGCAAGTCTGTATGGACCAACTTGTGTTAATGCCATATGAAGTGTAATACAATAGTCATGTTGATTTTGGTGTTGGAAATACAACTATTGTTATAAAAAATGATGCACAACTGAACTTTAGACCCAGCTAATATGGAAAGCTAACTTAGAGCAGAGAAGGGGAAATAAAGGCATACCACCAATGTTTAGAAGAGTTCATGGTAATAGGGACAATTTTTGCAGGAACAACAGTTGTGCATTATGCATATGGTGAAACTCACAGATAAGATCGTTGAAATAGCAAACTATTGAAACAAAAATTGTAGATACAAAATAGCCAGGGACAGAAAACGACAAAATTTCACTTGCACCTATGTTTTTCTCCATGTTTAAAAAGCTTCAACCTTTAATTAAGTTATAAATGTTGATAACGTTCTTACAAAGTTACATCGTTTAAATTTTTGTTATACATATTGAAAATTCTTATGCATGGTAGAATTATTCTCCTTTCTTTTCTGATAGGTAAGGCAAGCACACACACACAAATTGTTCCTTACAGGGACTTGAAATCTCAATCCTCCACTTGAAAAGCAAAGGAGACACCACTAGAGCTAATCTATTGGTACTGTGCATCGTTGAATTACAAAAGAAGAATTCAAAAGGAAGTATTCTAGAAAACAGACAACAATTGATGATCTAAAAGTGTGGGTTGGTTGGGCATCTGTAAGGCCAGACCATTCACAACATAGAGCACAATTCAACTATCTCAACAGAAACTGAATTGCAGCTGCTAGGCTCTGTATCTGTGATGTAGGATTGTAGCCTATGTCAAAATATTGACGCCTTGAAAGCTTCCTACAAAAAACTTAAAAACCGCTCATGTGACTGAAAAAGAGGATTCATTATATTAATAGGTTGAAGGATCTGTCTGTACACCAGGATCATACAACAACTAGACTTGATTTTTGCAATCCCAAATCAAACCTAAAATCAACCAGGCATGTGTGCTTCAGTGCAACCTGGCCGAACCAAGCAGACATCTAAACCAAACCCATTGCAAATTTTAAAGCAGTTCTAATGATTAAGTTTTTCACCCTTACCACGAAGTCATGAATTATTTTCATGATTGTATGTCCACCAGCTGTATTTGAGCGTGGACAGATGTCACTTGCCAGACAAGCAAACTGAATAGAAAAACTCCATATTTGCAACCGAAATAGATATGTATAAAATGAAGGTTCTATCTCTGTAGCTACTTTTCAATCTAGACATGATATATATGCACTCAGTAAATTCAAATAAAAAAGAAATTAGGCTTAGTGATAGCATATTATCTAAAGAAAGGACACCAATTATCTTTAAATGCACAAATGCACTTGTTTCTATTTCGATACCCTTTCAACCTTCAACCTTGTAGGGTAAAAGATATTAATAATTTAATAGACAATAATTATCAACCATGACAAAATCGATGTACAATGATATCAGCAAACAAACGAACTTCTTGTGAACCAAGGCAAATTATTGAAGCCTCAAGAGAACTCTAGAATGAAAAACCTCCATTGATAATGTTACTTCCTAAACTAACACTTGTTCTTTCAGGTTTTATGCTGGCTTACACTCACCAATCCTCTTGATTTTTTATCAGATATAAACAATTCAGTAACAGTTTTGATATTAACCAAATTGAATCTTTTGGTAATAGGGGCACAAGGGGTATGCATCATCACATCAAATTTACAGGAGAAAAACACCGGTATAAAAGCTCAAGAGAATCTTGTTTTCCACAGAGAGAGAGGAAAGAGAAGTTCTCAATAAATGCAATACTATGGGGAATGATATACAGTATACAGTTGGAATTGATTTTCGCCAAATAATCATCATTTTTATCTGAAAAGAAATGAAAAGGCAAAGTATCCACCAATGAGAGAAGGTTGAGTAGAATGACTAGTTCTTTCAAAAACTGGGAATCTTATAATAAATGTAAGCAACTTCAGAAACCAACCTTGAGTTCTTTTGAAGCTGATTGCATTTGAGCTTTTACTGCCTTAATATTTTTCTCCAAATCTTTTAGCCTTCTGTCCCGATTATTAGCATGATCATGAATTGATTTTTCAAGCAATGAAACTGTATCTACACATTTTTCATACAGAAGTTGCTTTTCTTTTGCAGCAGATTTTGCTTCTAAAAGCTCCTGCTCAATCTTCTTTACCAGTTCATCAAGCTACAAGGCACCAAAAATAAATATATAAAACAATGCAACAATATGACAGAAACCAGAAATCATGAAGACTAATGATGGATTAAGCTGTACTGTACAGTACAGAAGATCCACTTAATGGTATGTTGGAGATAAAAATCCACAACCTTATGATGCTCATTTTGTTCAGCCCTGCTCTGAAATAATGAAAGGTCATATAACTTGAGCTCCAATTGTGCCTTGAAGTCCTTAAACTTTTTTTGAAGGGGAAAGAGCTCAGCAATCTGAATGTCAAGACAAAAAGAGGACAACAAAGGAATCAGTATGAAAGAAAAATCATAGGCTCCATGCTCTTAAACTTCCATATAAAAGAGTCAAATCTAGTTCCAGAATACAATGTAAAGAAGTAAATAATAAGATACATATCATATCCATCAGTGAATCAAACCTCAAATGCCTATAATAATGAAACAATCACCACATAGTTGACAAACCTATAATAATAAAACAATCACCACACAGTTGACAAACCTAAAAAATACTTCTAATCTCTTTTGGAATGACCATGACCTGTTAGAGACACGATAAAAGTAAAATGAAACAAACATGGATAACTAAAACAAGACATAATTGTAGATAATAAAAATATAAAAATATAAAATTAATAAAGGACAACGAGACTCCTTTTTTGATGCACTTATAAAGTTGTAAAAGTCACGGTTTTGCTGATTACTCATCACGTCACTGAAAGTTTCCCCTTTCCACAAGTGCATACAAAACAAACTTGTCAAATAAAAACAAAGATAAGATACCAAGAATTCAAATGCACCAATATGGCCCACAAGATAGCCATTGACCATGTGATAGACAAGTTGAGTAAAGAATAAATACGTGAAATGGAAGCACGAATATATAACTACATCACAAACATATTTAGATGCAAAACAAATTATTCAAATTAGAGCACAATGTTTTCTTTTCTTTTTGTTTTTCTAATCTACAATTTTTTGTTCAATAAAAGAGAGTATTCCTGGTCAACCTTCGCTTCAATTTCAGATAACCGCTTCTGGTGAATAGAAAGCTCTGATTCAGCCTTTGCCAAAGAATAAAGTTGCCTTAACAGATCACCACCACCCCTGCAACATGTAATTGCTAATTTAGGAAATCAGCTTACTTGAGATGGAACAAAAACAATTACAAGAATCTTCTCGTGCAACAATAACAGTAACTGTGTGTGCTTTTTTAACATTCTCGTGATGAGTCATGGCAATAAGTCATCATCATCATGATCATCATCCAAGCATTTATCCCAAACCAATGGGGATGTCCACAGGAATTTTCTTTTTTCCATTTTATTCTATTAGAAGTCATGTGTCCTCTTATATTCAATTTTCTAAATTCGTTTTTAATGATTTGATCCCAAGTTAGTTTTGGTCAACCTTTTTGTTTGTTTCTGCAAATAAATCGTAAGCATTGCATTAGGCAAATGCATCCCTATGAAAGTGTTATTGGGAAGAACAAGCATGTTATTGCTTACTTGCGACTACCACCAGTCAGAAGTCCACTTGGCTGAAATATATCACCTTCGAGAGTGACACTTGGTGTGCTAATTTCCCGACTAAAAGCAACCTATAAACCAATAATTGAAGTGAAAATTAGTTAACCTGAAATCCAAAAACTAAAAAGCTTTAATCACAAATTATCCAGAGAATTTTATATTGAAGGTAGAAAGCAAATAGCTAAATAGTGCAAAATACATAAGAGATGAAAGTTTTATACTGGTTTAGCAACCAGCATGGTTTTATGATGTTCATGTTGACCATAAAGAAAACAAGTTACCTGATTTCAGTGGACAAAATTTTGATCTAGGCCACTTGTCTAGATCAACCCAAATCCAAACAAATATGAACTTCTTTCAATTTTTTAAACTAATAACCTCCCATCCTCAGAGGGGGAAAGGGGTTGGAGCCCGGGTGTGGGAAGAAGGGTGTATGAGTTGTGTTTTGCCCCTCCACCAGTGTTCCAAATCTCAACCTATTAATTTTTTTTTTTCTTTTTTCCTTTTTTGTAGGCCCAACCCTTTTCTTTTTTCTTTTTTTGTAGGTCCAACCTTTTAATTTCCAGTACCACTATTATCTCCATTCTGACTTGACATTTTTTAATTCTACAGCAAATTAAAGTACAATCTAATTCAAACAACTAAATGCTTGCAATAAATTACATTTCTAAATCAAACATATAAATGCAACTAATTTGTATATTAGATTTTTTTTCCCTATATGAGGTGATTTTATAAAGGATTAATCAATGAAGTAAAAGGCTATCAAGAGGAGGCACACCCCCCAAACAAATTAGAAACCACAGAGAGAAGAACCACTTCCAATAATAGAGGATTTGTATATTAGATTATTAGTGTGACTATTTTTAAAGATTATTAGCATTACTAATATAATTAAGATTTTGTATTGACAGATTGATGATATTAGTGTATTAGTAAATAGATACTAATAATTTTAAAATAATTATACTTTACAAAAAGTTAATAAATGCATAAAATATTTATTTCAGAAAATTTTATCATTTTCAGAATTTTTGTCATGTTCAACAGTTTTCTATTTTTTAATTTACTTATTTATTTACTTCATTATATAATAAGGAATTGTACAACAATGAATAAGTGTAAAGTACTTATGAATAATGCACACGTTCTTAATACACTTGTGCAAAATAAAATAAAAAATTGAAATAAAAAAAAAAAAAAAAAAATTGAACAATGAAGTTAAAAAATCTAGAAGATTGAAAAATCACATAACATTTAACAAATCTAAAATTTTGGAAATTGAAAGAATATATCATCTTTGTAATATACAATAAAAATATATATATATGACTTACAACTTTATATGAAAGTAAATCTATTTTACAAGGGTACGAGATATGCATTTAATACACTTGATTGGACATATAATTGTAAAGCATATTCAATAATTCATATTTTTTTAAAATTAATGCTTCATAGCAAGGTAAATGCCTATTTTGAACACCTTATGTTGCATAAAAATGTGATTAGAGTTTAGAAAACAAAAGAAAAATACTTCTTATCAAAAAAGAAAAGAAAACAAAAGAAAATCATTATATAATATGAATATTTAGCAGCGTCTCTGTATCCCTCCATTTGGAATTTGTTACAACCGTCACTTGGACACATACTTGTACTGAGGCACATACCAGAGTCCAGGTAACATAGATGTAAATTACTTACTCTCTTGAAGAAAATTCAGAATTAATTTGATAACCTATAGATCTGGAGAAACAGTGCAAGATCTAGAAGCAAAGTTCATAGACTTAGCAACTGATAACATTTCATGTTTGATCTAGGTATAAAAAAAAATTACAGAATAGAAAATTTTTTGCAAGATCAGAATGTTTCGATATAGCCAAATTTTGTGTTTAATGAGTTTTGAGAAGTAGAGCAAAGTTTAAAAAGTGTTTGGAGGATGAGAAAATAGGCTGGAAGAGGAACAAAGGAGAGAAAGTGAGGAAAGGATTAGGTTTTGTAGTCAAGTGGCTGACACAGCCATGATAGTACCATAACGGCTGTTAACGATCAGCTAGTCTGAATAATGCACAAAATCCTAACTGCATTATCAGCCTAAATATGCATTACTTGAGTCGAGTCCATTACTAACCAACCCCCATCCCCCACCACATCCCCCCTTGGTGCATGGTCTAAGAAACACAACCTAAATGACTTCTAAAATGTCATAACCTTCCATGAAGTTATAACATATTTATAAATCACAGCTTTTCAAAACCCAATCACTATCCACCCTTAGTGGATATCAATTGAGGTACCATTTAATGCACACACTAAAAAATACTTTAAACTCATGAAACAGATACATGATAAAATAAAAGGAAAGGAAATTGGTGTATCACAGTTTACCAAAAAAAAGAAAGTAAAAGGAGACATCAAAACAAGGATCACAAAAAGAGCACCTTTCAATAAAGAAATAAATATATATTTATATACATAATTTGTCGGGGGTTATGTTTCCTTAGTTGGGTAACCGCTTCCAAACCCATACATCTAATATGTGGTGCCTGGGGCGAAGCATATCGTTGGGGGATCTCTGAAATTCATCCTTTGCCTTACCCAGGATGAGAAAACTCATCCTTAACTCTATAGGCACTGAGCTATAAACTATGAAGTCATTAGCCTCATTGCAGAGTTAGCCCAGCTGTTGGGATTTCCAGGGATGTATTCCCACTGAGAAATGCATGATGGAAGATTGACATCCTAAGCGTATTTCTGCTTATATGCTTTCTAAGCAGGCTCGGAATACTTCGACTATTCAGATGAAGGTCCTCTTAGACTCAAGGGACAAGTGTGTCTTCAGCATCATTGAATGCAAGCTTTTAGTGCTAGTTAGGAGCGATTTCATCAACGAACTTCAGGAATGTTGGTCTACTTAGGAGAAGGAGAGAAAGTAGACCACTAGCATTGTAGCTGAATATCCTTTCGGTCATTTTCTTTCCCTTTAAACAATGGACTGAAGATGTTGTATACTTTTATACTTAGGAGAGAAGTACCATATCCTTCCAGTCATTTTCTTTCCCTTTAAACAATGGACTGAAGATGTTGTATACTTTCACTATCACTAGGAATGTGTTCCTGAAATCGATGCTGGCTGAAGGCTTTGGGCCAGGTTCATACACTTGTCGTCTATGTGGAATATATATATATATATATATATATATAATAAAAAATAAAAAAAGAATTTTTAGAGATGATTTACGTGGAATATACCACGAAACCACAGCCAACCCAACACAAATTATACCCCCTTCCTCGCAACTACCACAACCATCACCAACATCATTGTCACTCTTACCATCACCATAGACCATTATTGTTGCCATTAGTATCACCAACCCTAGACCTAACCACTGCCAATTAGAGACCCTCTGCCACTTCCAACAAATCACCTGTCTATCTTCTAATACCACCATAACCTCAAATGATGTCAACGTTGCCTATCCACCAACCTTTTCCAACTATTAAAAATTTCTCGAAAACGGGAAAAGAAAAAAAAACCAAAAAAAAAACAAAAAAATTAACTCTAATAGAAGCCATGGTGGCCCTAGAAATTGTCAAAAAGATGCTTATTTCAGAATAATTTTGAAACAAAAATAAGAAACAAGTGAATGCACTAGAGTTGGACAATTAATAGCTAGCTACCTACATTTAGGTACATATAAAAGATAAACCTAAATGCAACCCAACTAATTTTTTGACTTGTGAGGACACTTCCTGTGTAAACAGCAAAATACTTTTCTTAGGTTTTTTATCTTTTTTTTTTTTTTTTTTTTTTTTAATAGTACATCTTAACCTACTCCCACCACCCACCAAAACAAGACAGCATTTTACCTATATTATTTATAAAATATTGACAACCCAAGCTTAAGCCAAGTCTAACTCGAAAAACCAAAGCCCAACTCAAGTGAAAAAATATATGCTTGGGTTAAGCTCGTCAAATTGGAGGTCAAGTTGGCTTAGACTGAGGGTTTTATGCCTTCGGTTGAGCTAGGTTGACCCCTCAAAACATAAGTAGCACACAAAATTTTCAATATGACAGGTGTTGTAAAGTATAAAACAGTAGTGAAGAGATAAATAAAACAAGTAGAACACACAGATATTACGTGGTTCAACCACTAGGGCCTACATCCACAGCACAAAGAACCCATAGGGCTACATCACTTTTATAATAGTCTCTCAATTCATATACAATACAGTGGTGGAGGCTCCTTTATATAGGAGAAGAAATTATGAGAATGAAAAGAGATAGAAAATAGAAAACAAGGAGGATTTTTCTCCACCGATTCCTCCAGTAACATTAAATATTCAATAATCTCCATCAATTACTGAAAGATTGTCTCCATTGATTCCTCCATTAAATCTTCAATAACAGGGCAAAAATATTAAACAGGGTCCATCTTTGTTACACAATCCTCAATTTGAAAATAGAAAAACTTTCGTTGCGTGGAATCTAATATCCTTAAATTTTGACATTAGATATATTTAATGAATCAGTAAGAAATGGATATAAAGAAGATGGCTGAAGTAACAGAACTCAACATTTCAATTTTTTATTTTTATTATTGATAAGTACATGTATATTAAAACTTAAAATATCCATCACTGCATGAAAAAATAATTTGACCTGAATATAGTAGCAAACCAAAAATATGCAATATATCATACCAAAAGGTCAAACCACAATTACTATCGAATGAATTATCCTGTACAAAAGTGGCAGAGGTAAAAAGCATTGCCGAAAAAAGACTTACCTCCCTTGCAGCATCACTAGTTTTGCAAACAAAGGTAGAACCAAACACGTATTCCATTGCACTCTGCAATATACATCAAGTTTTTGAGAACTTCATAATGAATATAATGCAACTTGCCTGCACAAAAATTCCTTGGAGGGGGGGTGTGTTAGTACCAACTAGGAAAAAAAAAAAAACTTCCCTACACAAAAGTTCCATTAACCCAAACAAGAAAAAGAGAAATCACGAAAAGCTAGTTACTCTTCCACTCATTCACAGCTTATGATCATTCGCCTAAAGAAAGGGAAAAAGAAAAGGCATGGTTTGAGTTTTACAAGTATAAGAACAATATTCACCACAACATTTTAACACACATGACTACCTATACAAAAAAACAGTAATTAAAAACTTGCCTTGATCTTCAAAGCATCTGACATCACATATGCATCAAAATTCAATAAGCAACAAAAGCAAGCAATAACATCAATAATGCACAGTGATTCGTACCTTCAGTTCCTTATCATATCCAACTAAAGAAAGTGCCACTTCTGCATTCCCCTCACCAACCTAGTATAGTAAAACAACAACCAACCTAATTGCACGCACTAACAAGAGATATCAGAGATGGAGAAAAACAAGTGTGGAGACGAACCAATCTAGCAGCAGCATTTTGAACTCTTTGCGGAACAGGATGGGATTGAATTTTGTTTAGAGGAATAATTGTCACTCTTCTTCGAAGATCACCATTTTGCAGCAGCTGCTTTCCAGTATTTTCTGTGTCCACTATAATATTAAACAACTTTCCCCCAGCAGCAACCTGAACATAAATTCATTGTAAGAATCTAGATATGAGAGTGCTTAAAACACAATATAATTTGGCAACAAGTGATACTGCTTTTAAAATAAACAAATTATAGGATATCATGCAAGGCCAACCTCTAATGCTGTCATTGTGGAGCTATCCCTCACTTCAAAGAGTTTAGCAACCACACCTTTCACCCTCGACCTATCAAAATTCTTCACAGGGTCACGATATGTGAACTCAACATTTGCCAATTGTGCAGAAAGAATCCGAGTTTCATCTTTCAACTTCTGCACTATCTCTAACTCAGCTACACGATCCTGAAGAACAATTTACAATATAGAAAAGAAGGAGAAGAAGGAAATAACCAAATTGAGATTCATTTACCATTTAACGTGCAAGGTATTGCTGAACTGACAATTGAAGAGCATACCTTCTGTAAAGCTTCCATCTGTCCCTCTTCATATGAAAGAGATTCCAAGGCCATTTTAACGACTTCCACATCTTTTCTTCTGACATTGAGCTCATTCTCTACAGCAGCAGCCTCTTCACGCTTTGATAATAACTGATGCTTTTTCTCTTTCAGCTCTTTCTCAGAATGGCTTATTTTTGTTTTCAACTGTTTCAGTTCTGTTTCTGCACTTCCAACAGCTACTTTTGCATCACCCAGTTGATCTTCAAGGCACTTCTCCTCATTTCCACTGCTCTTACCAGCTATTACACCCTGTCCACAATAATCACAACAATATTTTCAAGAAAATGATTTTGTAAGGATATGAATGCAAGAGACAACAACATATACACAGTTCAATGCTCAAAACTGGCATATATAGGCAATCTTACCTGGTATTCCCTTTCATACTCTTCCAAACTCTTAGAAAGATCCTCAACTCTTTTTTTAAGATCAGCTGCCCCATATTCAGCGTTTTTTACAGCAGAGGCCCTCTCTTCTAAAGACTGTTTTGATTCTTCAATACTTCTAACGATCTGGTAGCATTAAGGCATGAAGTCAAGATGTTATGTGAAACAGAGAGAGTACACATCACAAAACAAATAATTAATGGCATACATACATGAACAAGTGACTTAAAGGTAATAAAATTTTGATAACAGGGTGAAAAATCCCTTCTTACCTTTTCAGCATTCTCTTTTTCATTCATAAGAATTTCCTCTTGATTTTTCAGTACAGACACCTCCCTTACAAGATCATGAGAAAGAGCATCTACTTTCTCTGACAAACTTTTTACCTCCCCACCCATACTTGCTTCTTTTTCAGCAGTCAACTTTGCTACTTCCGTTTCCCCCTCCTGTAACTCCAGACGCATCCTTTCCGCATTATCATCAATCTCAGAAATCTTTGTCTTTTTTCCTTCCACCCCTTGAATTGCAGTGTCTTTAATCTTCTCAGCCTGAACATATTCATACGCAATGCAAAACCTTTTGAGTCGATCTAATTCTGCATTGCCATTAGCCCATTGCATGTATTGCATCCGCTCCTTCCTCAACTTCTCCAAAGCAGGAAGTATTTCCTGGTCAAGAAGCTTGTCAATCTCATCAACCTTGCTTTGTTTCTTCTCTAGCGTCTTCAGAGCAGCCTCTTTCTTTGTTTCATACATTCTCGTCCCAGCTGCCTCTTCAAGCATAGATAAGATTTCGGGGGGTTTCATGTTTAGGACCTTAGTAATGCGCCCTTGCATAATGAGAAAATGTGGATTGTTAACATTAAGTTGCACTGAATGGAAAAGATTTTGTACTCGACTAGGCTGCGCCAGGTGCCCATTGATTAAGTATTTATTCCTTCCACCAACCACAATCTGCAACATAAGCAGCAATGTCTCAGAAAATATCATATTGAAATTTCCTTAAAGCAACTGATAGATTAGACCCGAATAACTATACAATGACAATCTCTGAATTACTAATTGAATGTTTGATCACTACATGAAACTATTTTGCATATTCTTTCCCTTTTTCTCGGACAATGAACTGAATGATACAATATTGATTACCATACACACCGGCATCATTCAAAAGTACAATAGAAAAGCCTACAAAAGCTATTATTTATTGAATTCCAAAAGTTAAGTTAGTCAAAATTAAGGTTATATAACACTTTAAAATCCCAAAAAAATGTATTAATATCAATTCAATTGTGATATAGAAAGATAGGGAACTTTTGATCTTATATTCTTTGACAAGTAAGAAAGAGAAACTACTTTCCTTGTACTAAGGAGCTCATCCTACCAAATTTGTAATGTTTTCAGAAAACCTCTAATCTAAAATCTCCACTTAATAGAAAACACCCACAAACTAGTTAGTTTCATTATCTTATTTTCCCCTTACATTTTTGTAAGTTACCATAAAAAAAGGAGTGGTTTCAGCTGTACATTTTTATTTTTTTTGGGGGGGAAATTGACCAGATAACACCAACCCATTTATGAAATGTATCATTTAAGACCCATCAGCTGGAAAAGTGAAGCGTATAATTGCATGGATATCGATAAAAGTAACCTAAATCAAAATCCCATATACCTGACGGGTGACCGTAATCTCCGGACAATCTTCGTAACCAAGAGGACTCTTACTCCTGTCTGAATTATCAAACACAATCGAAACCGTAGCCTTCGTAATCCCAGCTTGCCCCTGCTTGTACACGAGCTCCTGAAGATTTGAGGCCCGAACCTGCTGTAAATTGGTGATGCCCAAAACGAAGCAAATGGAATCAAGAATGTTCGATTTCCCGGAACCATTCAGCCCCGTTATCGCATTGAAGAAGGGATCGAAACCCGGAACCACCGTCCTCGTCGCGTACGACTTGAACCCCTCCAAGCAAACCTCCTTGATGTACATTGTAACTTCAATTCAGAACCCAAACCCTAATCGAGTGAGTGAGCACGTTGAATTGGTGTGTTTTCTGGGGTTTCAGAGATCGAAACCCTAGAAAAGAAACAATGGAGGGCGATGAGAAAGGAAGTGAAGGGATTTCGGAGTTCGAAACCCTAATAGAACTGAAACCAAAAGTTTTTGAAAGTTGAATTTGCAGAGAAAAATCAATCGATGTAGTATAAAGACAGATCTGTAGTCGAACAGAGAAGTCAAAGAGGCGGGAAATGCTTTTGGTCTAATTTTTTTAAAATTAGTTTTGGTTTTTGCTTTTGGGCTTAGCTGAATTAGGCAAATGTTAGGGTCCTGGTACAGTCATTATTTGAAACTCAAATCGGGCTATTCTTACCCATACCCATTTCTAATGGGTTGAGTGCTTCGCGATGCCATCCAAAAGAATAAATTATTAGGGTTAGTTTGGTAGAATGAAAATGAAAGGAAAAAAAAAGAATGTTAATGAAAGAAAATAAAAAAATGCGTTTGATAAAAAATGTTAGATGGAAAGAAAACAATAATAAAGAATATGGAGGGATAGAATTAGACATGAATAGTAGATTTTGTTATCCTTCAAAAAATCGGAGGAAATGGAAAGAAAGACCAATGTTTTTAATGAAACTTTAATAATACCAAATTTGCCCTTATTTTTATAAAAGAGAAACTCTATGAAAAAGGTTATGGTTGTGAATTCATTACAATAATCCTTTCTTTTTTTTTCGATTGTACCAAACATATCCTTAGGTGACATGAAGGGTCTAACTCTTATACCAATTGTAATAGGTTAGATGCTTCGCGATCTAACCCAAAAGCTTGAGCTATTAGATAATGCTAACACCCAACCCATATATACTTAATTATTTTTTGATCCAAATTTGATGTGAGACAAAGACTCCTCTTATGACAATAAACGTTACTTTTTAGTAAGGTTAATAGAGTCATCGATCTCAGCTTAAGCTCGGATCATGCATAGGTTTGTCTTAATTTACTAATAATTCAATTGACGATGATGATGATAATAATACAAAGTAATAGTTAATTTCAGACTCAATCGTCTAACATCTTTATCCAAAGCCTACCGTGAAACAAAAGAACTGTGAAAAAAAAAAAAAAAAAAAAAACCAAGTTGGGCTTTAGATTATATTAGATTCTAGGAGGTTAAATTCTGGGAGCTTATTTTATTTTATTTTATTAGCGCATGTGTGCAATTCGAAAACGAGACCTCAAAAACTTACCTTCCGAATCCCTGCCAACGCCGTTATGCCCTTGGGGATAGATTCTAGGATGTTTGCCCAAGTTGCATCCTTAAATCACAATCATCAAGCAAGTATAAGAATAGATCAAAATTGAGAGACAAAATAGTTGTTGTATAGCCAAATATAAATGGAGTGTTTTTCTCGTTAAAGTTTAATGGAAATGAAATTTTAAAAATTAACTAGTTTTGAAAGCCAAATTTCCAATCTATTAGCAGCAATGTGTACAAATTTATTTAGTCGTATTTAGTCCATTTGTAATAGCACTCACCCTACTTAGATACACTATTGTCCGTTTTTAACTTCCCCAGAACAGAGACTTATTTGGAGTACTTCTAATGGGTTCATAGTCATTACGGCTTTAAAACACGTCGTGTTATAGAAGGGTGTTGAACTGTGCTATTTCTGATTTTTTCTATTTTCCATTTTCGGGGATTTTTCGATTTTTTGGGATTATTTTGTTTTTGCCTCGTTTTGTGTGCCGGATACATGGGGTGTGCAGGGTGGGTTCCGAAAGTTGGTTAGGGTATTTCTTCGAATTTGGAACTCTTAGAAATGCATTGTTATCCATTTCGGCATTTTTCAGTTTTTTGGGCTGGGAGGTCTCGGGCGTGACCCGCAACCGGTTTTGTAGTGCGCATGATTATTTTTCGATGTCATTGCACTTCATATTTATTTATTTGGTACATGTTTGAGTGGCTACGTACCAAGAGGTGTGTTTGTAGCATGTGTGTATATGTGTACATGCATATAATGCGAAATGATATATTTTGGGATCACATGGACCCCACCTGGACAACTAATGTCAAAGCCCCTTTTCTCTCTTCCTCTTATTTTCTAGGGCTGCAACTCGGGCGAGCCCAACCCGAAATAACCCGAGCCCAGCCCTAAATTTTGTGAGTTTGGACAATAGTTTTCTAATTTTGGTTTGGGCCCGGCTATATATTTTGAGCCCAAATTCATTTCGGACTAGGCTTGGGTTGATATGGATGAAGCTCGAAGCCCAACCTGAACCCGAAAATATTATATATATTTATAATGATACTTGAGTCACAAGAGTGCAGTAACCAAGATGGTATTTTGCTTGGGATTTATCATTAAAATTTTAGGTTTAAGTCATAGGTGTAGTTGATCGGTTGATCAACTATACATCAACCTTCGCAATAGCACGAATCATTGTAAAATAGGGCTATTGGTCGGGTAAGTCGAACCACTGGGACTGCGCTAGTCTATGGCAACCTAAGTGTCTAGAATTGTTCTTAGAATGATAAGGGGTTTATAGAGGTTTGTTGGATGTCACTTAAGCTAGGAAATTAAAAGTGCATAAAACAATAAATTGCAAGAATTCAAGGGAGTGAAGTACAAGTAAAGAAGGCTAGGGAAATGAATCCACCTCCATCCCTATACACATGCTAGGTTAAGAATAATTTAAGGGAAAAACAACATATATGATAGTCATGATACATAACAATACTAGGTTGCTATAATATCCTCAAGGAGTTCATTTAAATAGGAAGGCAAGAATAAACCATCAAAGGTTCACATAATCAACTACCTAAACTAAAATGTAGCTTAGAACATGCTTACTAAGTCAAGGATTATCAAGCCCTAATTTAAATGGTGAATGCACATAAAGTAAAGAATCAAGTATAGACCATCAAAGGGAAACCCTAAGCCATGAACTATCTAGGTTCTCCAACTCCATGCCATTGAAACCATTCCATGATCTAACTTCCATTGTCACCATGGAAGTGCAAGCAATATGATTACGAAAAGTAACCATCCAAGACAAGATGAATAACTCACAATAATCATTTATAAACATTCAACATTCATTACAACAAAAATGAGGCTCTTGACCATGGAAAGACTATCAAAAATACATTGTAATCCCCAAGAATAAACTATACTAACACATGCTTACAAGGGAGGGGTTTCATCACCTCCCTAGAAAATGAGTTAGTTACCCATTGGAGCCTTAGAATGAAGAAGAAGCTTGAACTCCATCTCCAATTTTCGAGCTCCCCTTTGTTAGCTTCAAGAACACCTTCCTTTCTTGCTCTCTTCTCCCTCCTCTATCTTGCAAAAATCAAAGATAAATAATGTGTGGCCCTTGGGTAGCTTTTTATTCTCCAACACACCCTCTCTCTCCTCCAAGGAACACCTCCAACCACTTCATAAAGAAGGAAGATGGCATTGAGGAAACCAATGTGCAAGTGGCTGAAATTGAGCCATTTCCGAGTGCAATCTGCCTGATTTTCGTGCACTCGAAAAGTGATCTCGAGCACTCTAACTTAGTGCAATGTGCAACATGTTCCTCTTGCTCAGCGCTGACCTATTTTGGGAAAACTGCTATAACTTTGTGCCCCGAACTCTGAATGATGATCTGTTTGAATATTTGGAGAGCTGATTCAGTGTTTTAAAAACTTCATGTTTTCATGAAGACCCAATTCTCAAGTCTGGTTGGTCGAAAATGGGGAGAAAGGCAGTACTTCAGTGCTGCCAGGCAGTTCTGCGTACCTCTGTTACGAAGATCATAAATCTCTGCTCCGAACTCCGAATGATGAACCACTTGAAGATTTGGAAAGCTGATTCAGAGATCTAAATCTTTCATGTTATGATGGAAGTCTAGTTCTTGAGTTTGCTAGGTCGAAAATGGCGACAAAAGTCATGATCACTGCTGCCAGAAATTCAGAAATGGCATCCTTTTTGCTCAAAATTCCACAAGGCATCATTTTTGCTTCCTTTTTGCACTTTAACCTGAAAATGCATAAAAACATGCAAATGGAGTTAATCTACATAAAATAATTAATAACTGGACTTTGTTAATGTAATTTAGGGCGCTTGAATATACAATATTCGGCGCTTATCACACCCCCAAACTTACATTTTGCTAGTCCTTTAGCAAAACTACAATGAAAAACATAATGAAAAGACAACCATGGGCATGTTACTACAAAAATATCATCCATGGTAAAATGAGATAGATACATAGCTCAAATACAACTTGAAACAGACAAAAACTGGAGATGGGGTCATTGGGAAAACTACCTTGCATATATGAAGCATTGATACAAAAAATGGGAAAAACCATTTCAACATGCATGCATCAACATCATAGTCCATATAAATAATTCAATTGTCATCTCTTAAATGGGAATAACTCAAACTCCAGTGAAAGTGAATTGGATTCTCAACATGCGGCTTTTACTTTCTTTTCCAATTCCAAGGCACAAGTTTTCAAATCAATGAATTCCCTTTTACATGAAGTCCCTAAGGCATGATTTTATTTTCAAGACAACTTTTGTTGCTTGTTAACAATTTATTTCAACTCATAAGCGAAACATAGAATGGTTGTGCAATGCTAAAGTCCTTTAAGCTTTCTAACCAACCTATGTAGCAAGCGTTAGGCCAACAACTCCCAAACCAGACGGCTTTAGGGTGTTAAGTGTAGAGACACTCCAAAGGACTTAATAGCTCAAGTTGGAAAGGCTACGAACTCTAGCTAACCATGTTTATTACAATTTTTTTTTGAATGACCGTGCAATGTTTAAGTCCTTTAAGCTTTCTAACCCTTGTACCAAGCGTTAGGCCAACAACTCCCAAACCAGACGGCTTTAGGGTGTTAAGTGTAGAGACACTCCAAAGGGCTTAATAGCTCGAGTTGGAAAGGCTACGAACGTCAACTGGTCATTTTTCATTCATTTTTATTTATTTTTTTATTTTTATTTTTATTTTTTTTTTGTTTTTTTTTTTTAACTTAAATCATGCCAAAGATATTCATCTATCAGGTTCATCAAATCAGATTAACTAGGCCAAGGTCAAGGTTGATCAAGCTGCATGCCTCACAGTTAAGTTTCCAATGTGCATCTGTGCATTGTGAAGCTTATAAGAGTGTAAATCCAGGAAGAATCTAATTGAAACATTTATACAGACTAATTTGAATCTACATGATCATTTCAACTCAAATTTTTCTTTATTTTCAAAAATTTCAATTGCTTCTATACACAAGGTATTAAACATATGTTTCATTTCCGACAAGTGTCAA